TGTAGGAAAGCAGAGAAAGCACTCAGTATCTGTGTATGCTCTTCAGCTCTCCTCCAGTAGGGACTAAAAGCATTTTACTTGGCAACATTTGCCTCAATCAGCTGGAAAAAAATTTGCTTATTTTGCCACATTTGGAAGCCTCATGCCATAGAACAATACTATTTACAGAGACACAGATAATTGGCATCCCAGAATACCAGGTACCTCAGAGTGCTTGAATGGTACAGGATCAGTGTAACTAAGTTTGCTCAGCAAGAATCTGTTCAGGTAGTCAATTATACAGAAATAAAGACAAAAGTGACAAAATTTATATTGACCTTTAAGCTCCCACATACTATTATTCTGTATGACCATGCTGATCTTAAAGAAACAAAAATATAGTTGAAGAACTGGGAACAGCAGTCAAATTCCCCACTGAAAAAAGCAGGCCTAATAAATTATTTCAAACTCACTGCATCCACTTATACCACAGATGTACTTAAGAGAAACTAAAGGAACGGGAGAAGAAGGAATCAGGAATCAGAATGTGTTTCCTTCAGAGATGGGAGTAATGATAATACACATAACCTGAAGAGATTTCCCTTGCCTAGATTAATTCAAAGCTGAAGGCTGTTACAGAAAGAGATGATCAGTCAGATGCCAGATTTTCCTGCTCAGAGATCTGTGCCATCAGGAACTGGGCTTGACATTGAAGCATTTTTATTTATTCTGTACAAAGAAGAATCAGCTTGAAATAGATTATTCATGGATGACAGTTATATACTAGATGCATATAAATGGCAAATTAGATTTGTGTTCCCAAAGTGGGTATTCAGAAAGCAGAATTGGCCTGACCCTTCACTTGCCTTAACAGATGCAAAGGGATTGAACAACTCCATTCTTCTTTAGTGACAAATACCTGGGACTATCTTTGAACCAAACAGAATTTGCAGTTTGTAGACTCTAGTCATCTTGGGAAGAGGGTAAAGAGCCACATTTCATTGGCCTGGGTTACATTTATTTCCTTTTTCTGCATCCTTTTGCTTCTTCATACAGAAGTGGAAAATTACATGCACATGGTTAGCAGGTTATCAAAAAATACATTAACAGTCTCTATTCTTCAGCTGTCTTCTCAGTAACCCCACTGTAAATTATAGCTCCATTGTCTACAGCTACATGTCTTTAAAGCCTGAGGAAGCACATTCACTTTGCTTTGACCAAGATCAGTATTTATACATAGATGTGCTGGTTTTGGCTGGGATAGTTAATTTCTTCACAGCAGCTGGCATGGGGCTGTGTTTTAGATTTGTGCTGGAAACAGTGTTGATAACAGATAGTTCAGCTGTTGCTGAGCAGAGCTTACCCAGAGCCAAGGCCTTTTCCACATCTCACCCCACCCCAGCAGTGAGGAGGCTGGGGGTGCACAAGGAGCTGTGAGGGGACACAGCCAGGACACCTGACCCCAAGTGACCACAGGGATAGCCCAGAGCATGTGGTGCTGTGCTCTGCATACAGAGCTGGGGGAAGGAGGAGGGGGATGTTTGGAGGGATGGTGGTTGTCTTTCCCAGTCATAGTTACCCACGATGGGGCTCTGCTTTCCTGGGGATGGCTGAACACCTGCCTGCCCATGGGAAGTCATGGATGTTTTGCTTTGCTTGCATGTGCAGCTTCTGCTTTACCTGTTAAATTGTCTTTACCCCAATGCATGAGTTTTCTGACTCTTACTCTTCGAATTTTCTTCCCCACTGCTCAGAGGGAGAATGCACAAAGGACTGTGTGGTACTTACTTGCCAACTGGGGTTAAACCATGGCAGAAAACAATGTAATCAAATGTAATCCAATGTAATCTAGGCCAGGTGGCCTAGATTGTGAAAACAGTCCTGCTCAAATAGTCCTCCCTCTGCTGAGATATGCCATACTTTCTACAAAATAATTAACATTTTGGAACTACTTTTTAGAATATTGTTACTGAACAATATTTTTTCAGGTGGTAATTTTCTTTTTAAACATATGAGACAAAGAGCGATTAGATAAGGTTACAATTCTGTCTTTTACAAAACCCCAAATGGAACAGCAATCTCTTGTAATCATTGTTAATAATAACCATTAAGAGCTATGGAAAATGCTTTTGCCATTCATCTTCCATGTTTAACTTCTTAAAAGTACACCTAAAATGTCCTTAAACTGTCTGTTCTTAAAATCTGCCATCAGCAGACAGAGCAAGTTCATTCTGATGACTTTTATCTGTCTCCCATAATAAAAGGGGCAAGATTAGGATTTAATACATGAGAGTTATTCAGTGGTGGTTTGTTTTTAATAATTTTTACCAACCAAGTTAAATAGTGGCTGTAATCAGCTCCTGCATTACTAAGACACTAGGATGTGAAATTACTATGTTTTTTCACTGCATTTTCTTTCACTGAATTTAATGGTACAGTTTAGGTAGGGGGAGACACACCTGGATTCCTAGGCCTCGTCCACAGACATGACAGTCTTAGCATAATGTCTTAAAGTCATACAAACATCACTTGCTGTTGGATAATAGTATTTTCCAGTAAGCATGCAGTTTTCCATTGCTGTTGTACCATTTACTCCATTCTAGGCAGGAAGTTACAATAATTTCTATAGAGCACTGATTCATAGTTAACTGAAGAAGTACTTTTCCAAGTTTAATTAATGGTCAAATTCTGTTAATTCTTGTTAAAACATGGGCTCTTTAGATGTCAAGCTAAGCTCAATATCTGATTGTTGTCTTAGTCAAGTCTTCTAAGTCTCTTTTAATAGTTTCTCCTCTTTTTAAAACTTTGACAGCACAAAAGGAAACTATCTGAGCTTCTACAGTTTGACTGATTTTACTGTACAGTTTTTGCTAGTTTGAAGTTATAACCTTTCAATCTGAGACTGCTCTGACATAAGTTGAGGCTTAATTTCAGGTTAGGAAAACCTCTGAAAGCTCAAACTGTGTTTCCAGCACACCCAAATCTTAATATTGAGACAGAAGCATGCATTTGCAAAATGCCATATTAGACTGACTGGTCCATTAGCCAAAACCAGGACTAACTTTTTATCTTATCTATCTTATTCCTGAGTAAGCACAGGCTAAATTTATTACAAGTATAGCACTTGCTGTTGCCTTTGGAGAAATTAAATGTAAATGCCTTTCTATTTCCCTATAGTTTCTGATTTTAAATTAAGTATACCCAGACTCCCTAGCAGGGAGGAGAGCCAAATAAAGGCATGTCACAGAAAAAAAAAACCCAAACAGATACAGTTAAAGAACCCTGGTTAAAAAGTACACAATAGATGGTTCCATGCCAAATCAATCCTGTTAACAAAGTAAAATCAATCAGCAAAATGTAGGAAACTGCCAGACTTTTGAGACAGGAGAAGAATAAAGAATTTGATGCAAGATGTGAAGTTCAGAAGACCTGCCTAAACAGTACAGTGAACCAACACAAATTCTAGAAAGTACTGTCTCACATGGCTACTTAAAAATGTGCTGTTCATAATACTAAAAGAAGTAAAGTGCACAAATTATAAAATCAAACCATTTTTGGGATTTTACAATCTATGCCCCAAAACATCAAATATCTAGATAAACACATAATAGGTTAAAACTTCAGTCATATTCTTAATTATTGACTCAATGTCAAGAACTTTAAATTTTTAAATGTAATTTATTACTACTGCCTTTGTTGGAATAAAGATTTTATATGGCATAATTCAACCTGCTACTGAGTAGAAAAATTTTTGTTTATCTCCAATATGTAGATTTAAATTAATGAAAAAAGAGATCAGTCAACTGTATATTTGTTCTTTTTCTTATATCACCTATAATTAATGGCAAAGTTAGGAAGATAAGAAACTGAATTACTGTACACTTTACTATTCATACTTAATTTTCCCCCATTTCTCTCCCCTTTTCCTTTCTGAAACCAGACAATCAACCAGCACATAAAGGAACTCATTTACATGGAACACTATCACACTTGTCTTTGTGGGGCCACCATTTCATGAACATCCCAGGATGTATGGCTGTTGAAGACTGGTGCATATATAGATTTAACAAATAACAGTTCTTATGCAGAGAGCAATCACAGAGAAAAATTAGCTAACCAGAACACATTACAACATTAAATTTTCACTTTTTATAAATGGAGTAAAGATGCTTTTAAATATATTTACAGTTAGAAAAAAATACTTAGGATTACTACAAGTCAAAATTATTTAGAAATTATGAAAGTGAAGTTCATTTAAATTATATTATGAATGGAGTCAAATGCAGTATTTTGCTTAGAATTTGTCTACTCTGCTGTCAGTATTATCATATCCCTTTAATCACCAACAGACAAAAACTTAACTCTGCTTAATGCTAAAACAAGCATCACTGCAATGAAACTCTGGCAACCTAATAACTCAGTTAAAACCACCACAGCTTTTAAGATCCTAGCTGACTTCCACAGCACCTGTAGTAGAAATTGCTCTTCAATGTCTTGTTTCATAGAGAACAGCGAGACTTTTTGCATTCCTTTTGACAACCAGACTTGTACCACATTTTGAGATTATTCTCTAGAGACAGTTGAATCATAGTAAAATCTACTCCATCCTTCCTTTCAAACCAAATGGCTACTTAATTCTGAAGATAGAGTCCTTTTGTTTGCAGTGCTGGGTGGTTTATTCACATAAATAAAAATACATTTTCCATTTATTGAATTACTGGTAATAGATTATTATTTCTTTGCAAGGAATTCTGAAATGTGTTAGCATTCATTACATTTCAAATTAGAAACACATTTCATAAAACTTCTTGCAATGAGATTTACTATCTTTAAACTGCTTACTTTAAACAGTTTCAGCTCTTTTGTAATCCATTACATCAGTATATTCTGCAAATAGTCCCACCTAAAAATAAAATATAAAAAAATAAAGTTGAGAAGCATGTATTTTTCATTTAAAAACTAGTGTATGTTATTCAGAACACTAGCCCAGCCCCAAAAACATTTAAGAACCTTAAAAAGCATTGTTTTACAGATACTAAATTTGGCCAGGTAACAGCAATGAACAGACATTCTATTTAGTAAGATAAAGCAGAATACATAATAAACAGGTCAGTAGTTATCCATCTGAAATAGCCTATAATTAACATTTGATGTCTAAAAATTTTAAACAGCAACACCAAGGAATGAGGTATGTATGTTCTCAGATATCACATCAGACTCTCATTTTATGCAACTAACTGTATTTCACAACTAGCATCTTACAAAATAGAACAGTACCATTGTGCCTGTAGAAGTACTGCATTAAAAACAGAAAAATACATTACTACAAGAAACCACCAAACATCACAATTGTCAGGGGCTACAAAAATCCATTGTTTTTAAGCCTTTAAGAAGACATATCATATGTGGGTAATAATTTGGGGCTGGATTCACTACCAAGAAGGTCCATCCAACTTCCACATAGGCTTAAAAATATATTTACTTTGAATGAAAAAGAAAAGGCTCACGGGAGTGTAAGTGCCCTACCTCACTAAAAGGAGCTAAATGGACTTTTGTACTGAACCAGAGTATATAATTTAAAATCTATACATGAATTGTATGTATGTATCAAAACACTTATTGGTTGTAAACAAAAATGCAAAATTTGTATTCACAAAAATATTTTATTGGTAATTTTACATAATACCGGATGGTATTGTAAATAGCTCTGCTCTTGATCAGTATATTGCTAAGTGCGTAAATGTTGTCAGTTTATGCCATAAAGTAGGATAATGAGTCTTTTTCAAATTATTTATGACATAATATATTCTAATAGGCCAATTCAATATTAAAGAAACTGATTCAGGAACAAAAAAAAAATAATAGCATTGTTATTTCCTTATCTTTGTGCAACATCTGATATTCCTGTACTGAAATGATAAGCGACTATGTGACACTAGAAAAATCTGGGGCAAGGAAACAGCACTAAGCAGAAATGAGAACTGTAGTTCTGTTCTTTTTAAAGCTTTTCCAAACTTTCATATTTTCAAATAGTTTTTGCCAAATGCATCACCATCTGAGGTTCAGTATTCATTACACAACACAAAATACCAGTGTACAGTGACAAAGCAGTACTTTACCTGAATTGCAAGGTTAACTAATCAATGCTTAGAATGTGTTTTCTATTTTGCTTGTAAACATTACAATAAGTGTTTTAAGTGTCAAAAAATATTGGTAAAACCATCAACATAATTCAGTAACAGTAATCTAGTAAAATGTGTCAAACATTGGCAAAAATCCATACAAATGTTTTCTTTAATAACATTTTTCCTATTTAACCACACCAAGTACCAGCAGGTGTTTTTAAGAAGATAATTATTATTATGAAAATTCTGTTGCAGCAATAATTGATTAAGTTGATCTCTGACTTGCATACATATAACTATGTTTCACAAATCTCAAATAATACATATTTAGGCAGCTTGAACTATGTTATAAAAATTTAAATTCAGTACATGCCAATAGTAGAGACTCCAAGAGTTGTGTTAGAATTCACTCAACTAAAAGTGAAAATGGACATACCAATAACACTGCATAATGAACATTCAAACCACATTTTCATGGCACCCTTACACATGTAGATTAAAAAGCTGAAGATGCTTCATAAGCATTTGTAGTTAGCATTTAAATTATTACAGAATCACACAATAAGCTGAGTTGGAAGGGACCCAAAAGGACCATCAATTCCAAATTCTGGCTCTGCACAAGAGAGCCTCAATAGTCACACCACGAGCCCTGAGAGCATTGTCCAAATACTTCCTGAACATTGTCAGGCTGGTGCTGTGACCACTTGCCTGGGGAGCCTGTTTCAGTGCCCAACTACCCTCTGGGTGAGAAACCTTTTGTGGTATTTAACCTAAACCTCCCCTGACTCAGCTTCATGCTGTTATTGTTTCTACCACTGCACTTTTTTTCTTTCTTTTTTTAAACTGCATTGTATGTTCCAGTCGACAGATCAATTATGCATGACTAATCTGTCATGAAAATGTGGTAACAAGTGACAGAAGTTATGTATTTGCATGTTTTGAAGAGACTAAAGAAACAGGAGGAAATAAACTTTAATGAGATTCCCCATTCAGTGATGACGCTTCTCCTCTGGGTGAAGATGACCTGGACATTCCCCTCTCTGTGTTGTCAGAGCTAGAACCACTCTGACTGTGTTGATCTGCAGAAGCAGCACTGGAAGCAGGTGGTGACTTAGTTTTCTCCTTAAAGTCTGTAATAATGACTGTCAGATCTCCAACGGTAACTTCCAAATGCTGAGCACTACTTCGATCCACATTTTTCAACCTTGGCCTAAATAAAGCAAATAATCATATTAAAAGCACACAAATAATCTTATTATCTTGTCTCACTCCTACTTTTTAGGAGCTCTGGAGAACAAATGTTTATATATGACTTCTTTTTCGAACCTGTAATATGTAGGAAAACAATGTACCAGAAGTATTAATGGTGGAGTGTTTCCTAGTATGTTTTACATTGAAGGAGTTGAATATAACACATTACCATCTTCTAAAACTATTTAGAAGTTGACATTTTTTAATGTCGCTGTGCAGCAATATATATGTGCTGCACATGTGAAGGTTTTTACTTTCAAAACCCAAGTCTGCCTTTATTGTGACTATGCAAAGTTAGAAATTTGATCCAGGGAAATGTCCATCTCTGCAACAGCCTGAAGCAACAATTCTAAGGAGAAAATTATGTTCTATAATGAAGATGTTGGTGTCTGCCTTTTGAATTCAACAGCACAGACAGTGTTACCTTGCAGCAGGTGTTACCTAATTTTAGAACCTAGCCAGGACCACTAGTATATTATTTGAACAGGACTTTGTGTTCACAGTGTTGACAGGTAAGTCTCTTCATTCAATCTTTCAATTATTTGATTTTTCACAACAAAAAGAACTAAAGAACAATTTGACTTCTATTTTGCCTTCATATTTTTGCTAGTGACATGCATAAAGTACTTTCAATTTAGTCCTTTCCTATAATCACCATGAAAAACTGGTACCAGACAGTTGAATTCATACAAGCAGTCAAAAACAGCACAGTTTGTGCATTTAACTGTCTCCACAGCTACCACTGGCACAAGCTGCAATAAAATAATGACATCACATGTTTGCAGGTGTGATAATAGTAAAGTTCTAAACTTTACCCTATCATCAACTTTGTTTGATGTAGAATTGGTTCCCATTCACTTCAGCTGAAATAAGTCTTGCCTTTTCTCCACTAGAACTGAGATAGGCTTTGACATCATGCTCCCCCTGAGGCTGAAGCAGCATGACTGAAGCATCTCAGAAAAAGAATGAGAATCTCCTGATCTGCATCATGGGAATAGAGAGAAAACCTGAGAATTATCAACTTGTGCAAGTGCTATGTACCTGGAGCTTATTAATTATGGTGAGTGTGCATGAAGATTTTTATAGTTGTTTCCAGCAATAATATACATATTTTAAAGCAAAAAGAAGAGGATACCCTTTTCTCAAAGAATGCTGAAGAAGTATGTCTAAACTAATCAAGCATTCTTAACTTACCATCCCACCTAGTGAAACAATTTTTGGAAAAAGATTAACTTTGAAGGTTTGAAGCATAAAAAAAAAAAAAAGCAATTCTTAATGCAAGGTAATACTGGTATTTCAGCCCGAGATTTTATTTTAGTTATTTTTCAAATTTCCTTACTCTTTTCCTATCTTGCTTTCTGCATTTTTACTGTATTATTGCAATTTATCCATTAATATTTCAATTTATAATTTTAATTGGCATAACTAAAGCTCACTATGCTAACATCAAATGCTTCATAACTGAAGGACTTCAGCTGTATGAGGTAAGCTTGTAAATTTGACTATTTAAAAAACAAAAAAGGAAAGGAAATAACACTTCAGTGTCCTTAATCCTAACTATGACTTTCTTAATGACTGCTCTCTACTGACTCTCAGTCCCACCCTTGTTCTGATCCTAATGATCCTATTTCAGGCACAACAGAAGCATATGCTGCTTCTATGCATAACTAATCCCAAAGGATATTTCTTGGCTGGGCTATTTTGGCAGGCTTCCAAAAAAAAAGTTCCTCCCACATTTGCTTAGTTTACATGTCTTATACACTTTCAGCTTTTTTGACACAGCATTCTTGCCACAATAACTTTATGCTTAGATTATGATGAATTAGGGGTTAAACCTGCTGCTTTTGTTTAGCAATTTGCACCCTCCTTCCTTACAGCAAGACCAAGGCTTTTACAACTGCTTGTCTGTACTGCAGTATTTCATGTTTTCAGTGTTGAGTCCTTCAGCATCCCAGATGTGGCAAAGAGATTTCTATACACATACTTTATCCTGTCACATTAATTTATGCGCTAGCTCAGCCCTTCAAAGCTGAAGGGTTCTACAAGGCTATCAATAACCAAGTTATTTTCCCTCCTCATCTGCAGTCTGGTACTGGTTCTCTCTCCTCCCACTACTGTTTTGCATAGAAACTAATCACACCCATCCTCTCTTTTTCCCAGAGATTAATATCATCAATTTGCCTATCAACAGTTCTGTATGGTATGAAAAATACTTGTCTGAACCCTTAAAACAATATCCTAAATAACCCTTAAACAGTCTTTCTCTGTTCAGCTCATCTCCATCTTCTGGCCACAAGTACACACTGCGGGTCTTCATATTTTATAGACAGTCTGAACCAATAAAACTTCGCAACAATATATAACCTGTTTGCCACAGTACTTGGAAAGCAGTAAAATCAAAGAACATTTTCTTAGTTTTATTTGTAAATTACATTTTACCACTACTGAAAAAGTTTCTAAATTTTTTACCTGGTTTTCTTATGACTGTTCTTTTTGCTTGTTGTTTCCTTTTCACTTTTTTCCTTTTCTACTTTGTCTTTTTTCTCTTTCTTTGATTGTGTAGGGGGCACAAATTGCTGAGGAACCTGTTGTGCAACCAGCTGAGAGACAGGCCGAGGTTTCCTGTGTGCACATATATATAGACATGCATAATGCTTAGACTTTGCAAGTCTCAAACTGTCTACACTTCAGTTATCAACATTTACCATCATTGTAAGAAGAAATATTGTTTAAACATATCTTGATGCTAATACTTCATTAAGATAGCATATAAAATTTAAACCCATTATAGCCTTGAGTTTCACTTACTTGCATTACCAACAAATGAGATTCCCTTTTTTTTTATTTTACAGGGATTTAGAGACCATATTTGCAATGTGCCCTCTTCTCACAGTTGTCATATCCAGACAGAGACCTCAGAGTAAGCTCCAAATGACAATTCTTCCAGAAACTACTTTACCACCCACTCCCAGCCCCTTCAAATGCTGAAATGGTCTGGTTTGACTCTAATACAGAAGCAGACAATCCATATCACAAAAAGGAAAAAGCTGACCTTTTAGGTATCAGAGCTAGAACTATTGTTGGCCTTATAGAATAGAACTTAAGCGTTTTCAGCTCAAACAAATTTATTGGAGGCAATAATAAATCCTGTTGTGTATCATTTTTATCATGTTGTCCACTGGAAAAAAATACACTGCTAATTAATATCAGTATGATATAGCTGTCAGAACACATATACTTTGGAAGTTGGCAACAGAAATATAAAATGACATTCCATTAGTATATACACAGTGCAGGTTTCCAAGTTTTGATCCAAACTAAAAACCAGTGTGAGAAGAGCAACGGCAGGTGAAAGAATTTCAACAGTTTATTATTTTTACTTTTTCCAAAATATTATTTTGAAATTGATTAATTTTTTTGTTCTGATTTGTATTGGAATACAGTGATCCTAGTGTGAAATGAAACATCTTACTCATTCCATTGCAAGTGTATTTACTTCTTCTGTAGTTCTGGAATTAAGAAATTTCAAGTCACGATATATAAACAAGTTTCTGTTATTAAGCCTTTGAAGATCTAAATTTCTTCTCCACAAGAATGCTTACCCTGCCAAGCTCTTGGGTTTTGTTAGTTGGATTGTGATGTTAAGCTTTTTAAACTAGAAAAAGCACAAATTATATGCATTGTGATACTCTGAAAATACAAAACCATTATTAAAACAACAGAAGCTATCAGCTCACACACATACTTATTTATCCCAACCCACAGGATCACACTACTGGCACTTCTTACTTGGATGAGGAGATGAGAAAAATAAATGCAGAAAATCAAGGCAGCTACCATTAACAAGTTATATTTTCAGTAATGATTGCAACAGTTCAAGTTACAGAGTGACAGTCAAATTAAAAGAATTCATAAAGTGTGGGAAAGACAGTTAATATAAATCAACTGGTATTTCATGAGTCTTCACAGTATGTCCTTAATGAATTAAAACAAATAAAAGAAAGACTATTACTAAATTGTCAACACAACAGAACTTTGGGATAAAAACCAGACTACCCCTTACACACTCATGAACTGAGCCTACGCTGACTCATGGAGGGACTAAGAACAGGAACAAATCAATTTAGTGAAAACTACCCAGCTTATAGCAATAGGACCTTGCAAAGCACACCCTGTATTGAGCCCACAGTGAACAACTCAAATGGACTCAATGGACTACAGATGTCTAGGTTAACACAGTACTTAAGACATTTTTAAGAAAACTTATCTCAGAATTTTTTCAACCTTTTGTCACCTATGTAGCTCATAACAGAGCAAGAACCACCAAGGTGCAATTGATGCACAAGCTTGTAATTTCAGATGGAAAAGAGCTGTGATGCATAAAGAAAACTGATGATCTGTCTTGAGTTGGAAGATTGCTCTGGGATAGGAGATACAGTTTGTCATGACAGTCAAGTGACAATCCCAACATTACTACACAGTGACCTGAGAGTATGATTGGACATGCTACTTATGAACTAGGACACTAGTGAACTTGACACACAATTGTTCCCCAGGAGAGTGGACAACACCATGATTATGGAAAATTGTTAAATAGGGTTAGTAGAGAGGGGAAAAAAAACAATCTTAGACAAGTAAATTCTCAATTTATAACAATTTCAGTTCCTGAGGGCAAACTAGATGATTTCTATTAGAGTACAGCTGGGAAATTAAGCTTAATTCTAAATCCTGGGCTTGGAACTTTTTTCCTAATGCCATAAAACAAATGTGGCTGAAAAAATATCCTTGCAACAAGGAACAGAAGTCAGTAAAGAGAAAAAAAACACAGAGAAATCATGTTTTGGAAGATGCACTAAAAATGAATCAAGAGGTTCTATGTGGCTTTGCTGTGACAAGAGATTCCCTCTATTAAATCCATCTATTAGCCATCCCTTTTGTTGTCACTTTTTTCTATAGCTATCCATTATATCTCTGTTCTAAATTTTATTATCTGCTTTCTCATGTCCCAATTTATTAAATGAGGTATTCAAGGTTCCTATATTAAAAACATTGAGAAAAAAAAGTAATTCATCTCTCAACACTAGTAATGCCTTTCAAGTGCTCATTTTTTTTCCCCAGGTACTCAAAAGGGGCTAATGAACTGCAACCAAGCACTTCACAAGCCATGCAGATGTCAGGAGATAACTCTGTGTCCATGAAGCTTGAACCTGATAGAATTGTTCCTGCTTAGTGGTAGCTGAATCATGTCATTCAAGCATGAATAAATTCATAGAGAAAAGGCTACTTCAGAGAAGATAAAAGTTAGAGAAACTATCCCTGTAACAGGAAATTGATTGTGATGATTTGCCAAAACACATTTTAAATTACTTGTTTTCAAAACTAGTTAAACACTTCTTGTAATACACTGCTACAGATTAAGTAGACATGATGTTAACACTGCCTTTTGTTGATATTTATAGTAATTTAATCTTTAAGAATATTCAAGAGCACCTGAGCTAACTGATGTTTAGAAAGAAGCTCTATTATCTTCTGCATTAAGATTACAAGCGTTTTTGTCTCTATCACTTGACCACTGTTGGACCACCACAACTGAACAATCCAGAACTACAAGCAGAAATGTTCATAAAAACAATACCTATTATTTAGCCAGCCCCTAAAAGCTTTGTATTTTTACCTTGTAATTCCACTTTAGTCATTTGAAGAACACTAAGAAAGGCATACACTATTACAGAAGAGCTAGCAATTCTTTCCAAAGGTGAACTTTACAGTTTAAGCACTCTAGCCATACTAAAAAACTGATTTACTGAGCTTCCAAGAGATCTCTAAACATCACATCTCTGAATATTGCACCTCCCCTTCTCTACTACCTAGTTTTCCTTTTCAGACAGTTAGCTTTCTTCTAAGTTGATATCAGCCATACTTCTACCAACACTTCTATTCCAATTTCATTCATTAGTTTTGTTTATTACCTAATTCTAACGTTGTTTACAAGGTCCTACTTGATATGCACTTCATAGTCTCCTTTAAAAAACTAGGAAAACTAACATTTTCAATCTTTAAACAGCCAACAGCCATTAAGACAAACATACAAGTCTCTGTCTTCCCTAAAATTTCCATAAATGCTCAAAAATAAGGATGTCATCATTTTAACGCTAATCTTCTTGTTGCAGGATGTAACTACATTTTATCTTATCAGGTTTGATCTAGCTGCTGGTTTAGAAAGCATATTTATAGAGGCTGCAGAAACTTGTCTTTGCTTTAGCAATTGCTGTGCAGACACTCAGTACTGATACTCATTGTTTTCATTGTTGACATCCTTTAAAAAAAAAATTTATAGCACAGCAATTTAAATGCCTAGAGATAAAAAATACTCAAGACCACATGGTATCTGGAACTGTTGCCCTGAATTATTCCTATGACCCAGAGATCAACACAATACCTTCCTGCACATAAATAATTTTGGAAATCTCACATGCTTCCTTGATTTCCCTCACCTACTATTCACCAATAACCTATGTTAACAGTATTTTGACTAATTTGATACAATGAATAACTTGGTCTCATTACAGCAAAACAGATCCATTTTGAGAACCAAAATAAACAAAAAATATCTATACAATACTGATGAGCAACACATACACCAGAAGAACAGTAAACTCTCCGCTGCCTGAGCTGTGCTTCAAATATGCAGACAACCTAACTGGCTTAATGCTGAAACATCTTGGTGTTTAGCTGAATTTAATTTACATAGAGCACAACTACATATGCACAGTGCTGCTTCTGCAGCCATCACAAGTCCATAAAGCATCCAATGTCTTCTGCACTTCTCAGAGTATAAGCTCCAATGCTGACAGACCTGAACTACTTATCAGTCAATCAGCTTTAGGGTTCATCTGCTACAGTCTGGAAACAAGGAACATGACAGGGCCAACTGTGACAGTTTTTCCATGAACCAACCCCAAACATACCTATTTCTCAAGAGAGTCCTACGTTAGCATGAGGTACCCCTGCATGTAAAGTTAGGAGTAGGATTTGTCCATTTGGTGCCACATATCCTGCACAGCCAGAGCCAGCAAATAAGACTGCCAAGTAGCACACAGTGCTGCCAAGCAAGTGAGACTGCTGAAAGCACAGTGCTTTTTCCAACCTGTTGAGGGAAGTGTATTGTCATCTATAATGTGCAGTTCAGAGGCTTCAGACATCCTGAAGAATTGGGAACTTACTCAAAGTCACATTCTTTCCTGAAGTTCTATCTCCTGTTTTGTCTATTTTACTACTGCAGAAGTACTAAAATTACAATTTCCCAATTGAAACACAATGGGTCTAAATTACGGAAATGCTGTCTCCTCAGCATTCAATCAAAAAGATGCTCTTCAACAAAACCTGGATCCAGAATATCAGTCAAGCAGAGCTTCCATTTTAATGCAATCTTATCCTTCCTGTTCCTCTTAAGTCCAACCACCTCCTGGCTTCAATTCAGGCCAACATCTCTTGCCAGAGAATTATCCTGTCTCAAGTACTGAATTATCTGTTTCCTAAAGCTACAGACACACTCAACTTATCTAAAACTTTTAAAATAGCACATTAGGCCTGATACTTAGGTCTGCTACTGAGCTCTGGTC